GCAAACCAAGGGCCCCAGTGGGCCAGCGGCATTGCTTCGGGGACTGCCAGGGGGGTGTGTGCGCGCGCGCGCGCGTGCGTGTGTGTGATGTGATGTTTTCTCCAAAGGAGTAGCTGCCACCAAGACCAACCAGCTGTGCCCTTGACTGTACCACTTGCATCTAACCATTGCCGACCTGTAGTCATCAAGTGGGAGTTGACCCATCCCACATGCGGGATGTGTGGCCAGGAGTCAAGGCCCCCACCGGGAAGGCGCTTCCGCGAACGGCTTGACTTCCTCACTTTCCCAGAGGGTGCGCTTGGCGGCTGCGTCCGGCAGGTGGTGCTGTGGTACCGGGAAATGGCCTCTGATTCCCCCCCTCAATTTATAGAGACCCTTTCTCAAAATTAACTACTTACGTTAAAAGAGCTGGAGATGGAACTCAGCGCTCCCTGGTTCGCCCTCCACTACAGACAGGAAAAAAGCTATCACCTCTTTTCCTCCTGGGATGCCAGTTGTTTGTGATACCCGACACACGCGAGAGCCCCTCACTAGAAGAATCCCGATACTTACGGAGCACTCGAGGTACAAGCATCCGAGAAACCAGCGTCCATGAACTTTGCATTCAATATCAGATGCACCCCCGTGAGCGGTGGTACACACTGTAATCCCAGCACCTGGGAGGCTGAAGCAGGGGAATCGCTGTCTGGCCTATATAATGAGTCCAAGGCCAGCGTGGACTACGTAGCGAGACCTTGTCCCAAAAAACAAAACCAAAAAACATAAAAGTCAACTATGCAAGAGCAAGGGGTGGGTTATCCTGGGTGGACAGCAAGGGCCGGGGTCTTGACCTTGCTGCCCTTGGCTCCTCCCCTCAGGCCAGGGTCCCCAGTTGCAGCACCTGGACCACCTGGTACCCTGCAGGTACTTAGGGTTAGAGGCTCTCCATGCCCCTCACACCCCAGCCTCCGCCCTCCAGTCCTCCTCACGTGGTCGCCCCTGCACCCAGCTGTGGGTCTGGCCCAAATTAGGGTGTAGCAGGGGTCCAGAGCAACCGCGGTGCCCTCTGCACTCTTTCTAGTCCACCCAAAGCTTCCTCCCCACCCCCTGGATTGAGTCCAGATTCTTTACACTGAGCTATATGCCCTGTCCTTCTTTTAATTTTTAAGACAGGGTCTCACTAAATTGCTAAATTGCTGAGGCTGGGCTCAAACTTGTGATCCTCCTACCTCATCCTTTCAGAGTGCACCATCAGCACCCAAAGCTCTATCTCCATTACCAAGGTCCTCATCGCTGACAGCACTTTTAGAGATTCTTCCCACTTAGGAGCCTTGTGATTGGGTCGCAGGACTTGCAGCCTCTCTCCCCTCCGCCTGCCCAGGGAGGCCCCCTTTGATCTGCTCCTTTTCATCCTACCTCTGGCCACTCAGCCCACCAGCAGATAGGACAGTGGAGATCCCTTTCTCTGGCCCCTCTGCTGGGCCCAGGGAGTCTTCTCATATCCTGAACCATCCTCTGGTTGTCCTTCCTATTCCAGAAAGCCCTGCCTCTGCCAAAGTCACATCCTTTTTGCCAGCACTGCCAGGTCTGCTCTGTGATTTTGCCTCCTTAACAAGTCAGCCCACTGCTGTTTCATAGATGTTGCCAGAAGCCAGGAGACTCCTGGGTTAGAGATAATTGATGTTATTATTCACGGCCCAGCAGGCAGCATGAGGATTGGGAAATTTCCTTCAGTTCCCCTGGATGCTACAGGGCTGTAACTCTGTGGGGCCTGGGGAGAGTGAGGAGCCCCAGGGCAGAGCTTGATTTAAAGGATTCCTGCTAAATAGACTCCACTCGAACTTGGGTGGAGTCTGGCCACTTGCTAGAGTGGTTCAAAACAACAGCCAAGCAAGCGAACCACCTTGGAAAGGCAACTACAACTGCAGTCACCCTTGACTAAGCCCACTGCAGTCCTTCTCCAAGGTCTACCTGCTTACAGAACAGGACATACAGCAGCGTGGAATTAACACACGTGACGACTGTCACACCTGTGTCCTCTCAGTGTACTTTTTGCTGGTGGAGAAAGTTCCAGGGACTTTCTCTTGGTCCTTACTGTCACGGCATCCCTCATCCCAGGGGCAATGAGCAAAATTGGGAATTTCCGCAGGTGGCAAATGTGTCTCACACAATTACAAACTATAAGGAGTGGGGTCTAGATCCATGGAACTCATGGTGATGATGTACTAGGGCCAAAATTTCACTTATTCCTAACCACCACATGATCTCACTTTGGTAAGTCGCAGTAGTAGCATTTGGCCCCATGGATATAGGTTCTAAGTCAGTGTCTAAGCCAGGCACTGCGGTGCACACCTGGAATCCCAGCAACTTGGGAGGCTAAGGCAGGAGGATCACAAGTTGAGTGCCAGCCTGGAAACTTAGCAAGACTTTGTTTCAAATTAAAATTAAAAGGGTGGGGGGCCGGGGATTTAGCTCAGTGGTTTCGCTGCCTGCTGCGCAAGCGCAAGGACCCGAGTTTGATCTCCGGTACCAAAAAAAAAAAAAAAATTAAAAGGGTGGGTCAAAAAAAGGGGTGGGAGATGCAGCTCCATGGTAGAGCACCCCTGGGTACCCCAGTACCAACAAAACAAACAGAGGGTCTAATCCCTGAAAAATCTGAATATCTTCTTTTCCACATTATACAGCTATGAAGGGAAGATTTAAAATAAAGTTTTAGGTGCTGGGTATTTAGCTCAGTGGTTCTGCTGCCTGCCTCACAAGCGCAAGGTCTTAAATTCAATCCCCAGTACCAAAAAATAAAAAATAAAATAGTTTTAGAATTCTTTAGTATTTGTGTGTACGTGGTTTTGTTTTGTTGGTTGTTATGGTTGTTGCTTGTATTGGAGTTTGAACCCAGGGCCTTTATGCTGAGCTACATTCCAGCCCTCTAAAAATTTTTTCTATCTTGAAACAGGGTCTTATTAAGTTGCTAAGTTGCCCAGGCTGGGCTCAAACTTGCCATTCTCCTGCCTCAGCCTCCCAGAGTGCTGAGATTACAATTGCGCCCCACCACGCCCAGCAGTATTTAGTATTTTCACAGACTCTTTTCAATTCAGGGACTTTTGGTCTCCAAATTGGTTTATGTTGTGAAATTTGCACAAGAGACTGTGATTCTTCATTTGGATGACTTGCATCAGATTTCTACCCACAGACTTGAGTTTTTGTGTTCTATAGATATTTCAACAGAGATAAACTAGTACATGGGTCTCACATAAATTAAACATGGCTCAGAAAACTGTGAAGCAAGTGAGAAGGAACACAGAGTTAGCACAGAAACTGTAACTCCATGACACCGGTGCCAACCCAGGTGTAGCATAGTTATCATAACCCAGAGTTTTGGCAAGGCAGCCCTGAGAGCAAAACCTAGCTAGAAAGAGGGTTGGCCAGGATGGTGCTTGTCAGGCAGTCAGACCCAAAAAACTGGCTCTGAAGACACCAACAAATAGAAGATGAGACCTGGAAGTGGCTGCTGCAGTCAGAGGAAGCCTTATACTAGGGTTCCCATCGAGAGATGGGAGCCATAAAAGAGCACATCCCTTTTTTCTCCCTGGAGTGCTGCTTTTAAGGCAGACCAACGAACTCAACTGGCAAAGCAGAGCAGACCCAGCTTTGCACAGCCTGGTTGACCAAGGTGGACTTGGAGTGAGACAGTAGCTTAAACACACCCACAGACTGAGCTCCTGTGACTTTGCAACATTAGACACTGCCAGCTGCTAAGTATATTACAAAGCCAGGCCTGGTGGTGCACACCTGTAATCCCAGCACTCTGGGAGGCTAAGACAGGAAGAGTGCAAGATCAAGCCCACCCTGGGCAACTTATCGACTTATCACGACCTGTTTCAAAATAAAAACATGTAAAAGGGCCAGGGATTTAGCTCAGTGGCACTGCACCTGCCTTACAAGCACAAGGTCCTGAGTTTGATTCCCAGTACCGAAAAACAAAACAAAACAAAAATATGTAAAAGGGCTGGAGATGCAGCTCATTATGAATACTCTGGGTTCAATCCCTAGTAACATACACACACGTGCGATTTTTTTTTTTTAATTTAAAAAAAGGGCTAGAGATGTAGCTTGCTGTGAAGGCCCTGGGTTCAATTCCCAGTACTGGGGAAAAAAAAAAAAAAAGGAGGGGGAGGAGAGGAAGAAGAAAAAGAAGGATAGTAAGACTATTTTAGCATCTACTTCATATGGTCATCAGAAGGGTTCATTGAGTTCATACTCGTGGAGCACTTAATGCAGTGTCAGACACACACAGCCCTCCATGTGTCTCGAATTCACTGTGATCACCACCATCCTCATTACCATGATTGTTAGTGCTTGGGTTGGTGAGGCTGATTCAGCGTTTCCGGAGGAAGTCTGGGTATCACACAACACTTGGCAATGTTTCAAAGCTACTGTGAACCCAAAGAGGCAGCCAGTTGGAAAGCTTCCAATCTGGAGGATGTTTTGGTTTGGATTTGGGGATGTGTTGGCTGTTGGTGGCTTTCTTGCTATTTAACTAATAATTGCTGTCAGTTCAGCCTTGTCATTACCAGTTTAGTTTGTTATGGGTTATTTAGTTAAATTGCATGTATAATGATGCAACTGCCTCAACTCCATGTGTGCCTGGCCTACAATTTTCCACTAATTAGACTTTTTAAAGACACATATGCATTTATCCACTCAAATCTGCATCATGTTCGCCTATTGCCAAGCAGATGTACCCAGCACCCACCCATCCACTTCCCCCTCTCCAGGAAATAATCTGCCTATTATCAGTGAGTTATTTTTCCCCAGGGAAATAGAGACTAATGGGGCCCAAGATAGGTTCTTGCCTCCTGCAGTGAGGACCATCAGAAGAGCATAGATAAGAGGGGCTGAAGGAGGGACTGAAGCCCAGACATCTGAACCCAAGGCCCCAGAAGCCCCAGTTGAGCTCCAGCCCCTCCCAGAAGAACGGAGACACTAACCAGGTCCCCAGGGATCCAGCGGCCAGACACTACTTATCTCAAAGGCTTTATTTCCCCAGTGTGGGGAAGCTGGGGATAGGGTCAGTGGTCCCCATGGCCCCAAGGACCCGCCTGTGTGCCCCATGGGGCCAGCAGATCGGGTTGCACAGCCTCACCCCCCAGAGCCAGGCTGGTGCTGAGAGGATCTGGGCCTGCAGTGGTTGGCAAGGGCGACACTCCCCAAGGTGTCACCACTGGGGTCCAGGGGCCTGGGGCCCAGGTCAGAGACAAGGCCGTTGGGCACACAGGTGGGGCCACTTGGGCCTTGGTCTAGGAGCAGGATCCTCGGGGCCACTCCTTGAAGACCACCAGCAGCACTCAGTCTGCAGGGAAGAGAGAAGCCGTCTCTGTAGTAGGTGACAGGGAAGAGAAACAACAGGAGACTGGCAACCAGGAAACCCAGAGGAAGCAGCACAGAAGGCACGAATGAGGCGAGAGAGGGACCAGGACAAAGGAAGTGAGCGGAAGTACAGGTGCAGGAAAGCCGCTGACAGGCCCTGTACACTGACCTTTCGACCCAGGCCGGGAAGGGGGCGGTGGTCCGCCCGGTGGCAGCATGGCAGAGCGGCTCAGGGCCTCGGCCACCCAGTCCAGGACACGGCTACAGTGCTGGACCTGGGGAGCAGGAGGAGGGACACGGAAGCAGAAGGGGACCCTGCTGCCTCGGCCCCTGCCACAGCCCCCCAGCCAGGCCCCACGTCCTCACCTCCTGCTCCAGTCCTTTCAGGCGCCTATCATACTCCCGGATCTGTCCCAGCTGCTTCAACACCATATCCACCCTAGGGAAAGGATCTTCAGGTTGGCGGCCAACCCCACCCAAGAAGCCCCGCCCATCACGCTCCGCCTTCCCTCTACGATCTTCGCAAGCCCCGCCCCTACCCCCAGCTGGTCACGGATTCGCCCTTGAACACAAGCCCCGCCCCCTCGGGCCCCTCCCTCACTTCTGAGACGTGCGCTTCAGCCGCTCAGAGTCACTGTCCCGCTTATCCCGCTCGCGGGCCAGCAGGAAGCTCTCCTTGTGCACGGACTCCCATGTCAGTAGCTTCCGCTCGGCTTCCTTGGAGAGGTGGACACCTGGTGGGCGCATCCAATGAGTCAAAGGCCCCTTCCATCTCGGGTGCTCCCCACCCCACGCACAGCTCCCCCAAACCCTCGGAGCGCTCGGCGGACCCCGCCCCTTGGCGGTAGTAGATTACGCCACGCCCCGTATACCACGCCCACTTATCCTAAAGGGTCACCGCCTCCTCCTCCTCCTCCTCCCACTCCAGGGCCTTTCCAGCTGATTTTTCTCCCCAAGCTCCGCCCACTGATGGCCAGGCTTCAGTGCTCACGGAAGTGCTGGAAGGCGGGAAAGGTAGGCTTGTTGGACCAGCTGCATCTGCGAAGGCGCCTGATGAGGAGTCGAACGTGGGAGACCACGATGAGGGGCGGGGCCAGTGCAGGCCGAGAGTGGAATTCCCGGATGAGGCTGTAGCGTTGTGCCTTCCAATAGAGGTCGCTGTTGCCCTGTACTTTGCCAAACGTGTAGCTGCAGAGGTCAGAGGTTAAAGGTCACCCCAGATCAAGGTCAGGTGGGGGGGTCAAGGTTGACATCAGGCAACATATCTTTGAAGTCCAAGCAGCTTTCAGGGCCAACAAAATCAAAATTATTACAGGACATGAATAGAAGTGGGGTTAGAAGAGCCGAAGGGTTAGATGTCAAAGGTCAAATTGGGGACAGTATGGTGGATTAATGTAGAGGTTGGAGGTAGAATTGGAATAGAGCTCAAAAGTCAACCTGAGGGGGCTGGAGATTTAACTCAATCCCACCCCGCCTGCCTTGCAAGCACAAGGTCCTGAGTTCAATTCCCGGTACCGGAAAAAAAAAAAAAAGCCTGAGGGCCGGGGATATGGCTCAGTGTTAGAGCACTTGCCTAGCATAAGTGAGGCCCTAGATTCCTTCCCCACCATCACAAAAATCAGAAATGAAAATGAGGACGTTACTATCCACATCGTAGAAATAAAAAGGATTGTATACTATCAACAAATTAAGGTAACTTAGACAAAATGGATAAATTCCTAGAAACAAATAAATTACACTGACACCAGAGGAAATAGAAAGTAAAAAAGACATTGAATCACCAATCAAAACACCTCCAATAAATAAAAAGCACAGGACCAGATGGCTTCAATAGTGAATTATACCAAACATTTAGAAAATGAAATCCTTTACAAATTCTTCCCAAAAAGTTGAAAAGGACAGAAAATGTCCTAATTTATTCCATGAGACCGGCATTACCATGATACCAAAGTCAAGTAAAGACATCACAAGGAAAGTATAGGCCAATATCCTTTATAAATATACATACAGGGCTGGGGAATTAGCTCAGTGTTTCAACTGCCTGCCTTGCAAGCACAAGGTCCCGAGTTCGATCCCAGGTACCAAAATAAATAAATAAATAAATAAACATACATACAAACAGCCTCAAAAATTACACCAAACCAAGTTCAGCCCCAGATTCAAAGGAGCATGTATCATGACCAAACGGGATTTATACTAGGAAAGTAATGGCAGTTCAGTATATGAAAATCAGTCAATGTCTTGGGCCTGGCGGTGTGTGCTTGTAATCCTAGTGAAATGAAACAAAACAAAAGACAAAGCAGAGACTGACAGTCTCAAAGCTTGACAGAAACTGAAGGTCTCAAGGCTTGCCCCTCCTGCTAGACTCACAAAGGTCACTGTGCTTAAAAGATGAACTGCTGAAACAACACCTGCCTATACTTCCCTACGTCTTTTTTTTTTCTTTTTTTGCAGAACAGGGCATCGAACTCAGAACCTTGCACTTGCCAGGCAAGTGCCGGTGCCACTGAGCTAAACTTCTGGCCTCTTCCCTATGTCTTAAAGATAAACTGTAAAAGCAACATTTGCCTCTACCTCCCTACCCTTTGCCTAATTTCTGCTTTTGTAAAATTCTACTTACTTCCCTCCCCTGCCTAAAGAGCAAGATAAAAATAAAAACAAACTTAAAATTGAGGCTCAGACTCTGGAAGGTGACTTGCACTGGGCCCACTAGCAAATAAACCTGCCTTTCCTTTCAGTTCTCTGAGTGCCGCTCTCTTCCTTGGTTTGCCTGCCCTCTGAGTGCCATAACACTAGCACTCAAGGAAACTGAGGTGGGAAGATCATAAGCTCAAGGCCAGCCTGAACAACTTAGTGACTTAGCAAGATTCTGTTTCCGAAAAAATTTTTTAAAGTGGGCCAGGGATTTAGTTCAGTGGTTCCACCACCTGCCTCCCAAGCACAAGGTCCTGAGTTCGAACCCCAGTACCAAAAAACATTTTTAAAGGTCCTGAGTTCAGGGCCCTCTAAATTAAAATAAAAATTAAAAGGCTCTCTAGTACACACACACACACACACACACACACACACACAAAGCAATTAATTTGCAATAGCATTTACAAAAATTAAGCACTAGAAATAAAGTTAATGAAGAAAATGGGAAACTTGCGCATGGAAAATTACAAAACATTGCTGGAATACTCTCTTCAAATTGTATTAATACTAAATACTACCCAAAGCAATCTCCAGATTCAATGCAGTCACTGCAGAAATCTCAACAATCTTTTTTGCAGACATGGAAAATGCAATCCTTAATTATTATGTACTTCCAAGAGGCCCTGCATAGCCCAAATAGTCTCGAAAAATGACAAAGTTGAAGGGCTCACAATTCCCAATTTCCAATATGCTGCAAAGCTACAATAATCAAAACAGCTTGGTACTGGTGTAAGGATAGACATTCAGACTCATGGACTAAAAGCCCAGAAATAAACTCATTAATCTATGAGTGTTATAGGGCAAATTGTATCTCCCTTTAAAAGATATGCTTAACCAAAAAAAAAAAAAAAAAAAAAGATATGCTTAACCGGATGTGGTGGTGAACCCCTGTAATCCCAGAACCCTGGAGGCTGAGGCAGGAGGATGGCCTTGAATTTGAGGCCAGCCAGACTACACAGTGAGTTCAAGGCCAGCCTGAACTACATAATGAGACCCTGTCTCAAAAAACAAAACGAACAGGGGCCAGGGATTTAGCTCAGTGGTTCCGCCACCTGCCTCCCAAGCTCAAGGACCTGAGTTCGATCCCAGTAACAAAAACAAACAAACAAACAAACAAACAAGACATGCTCTGGTCCTAACCCCTACTACCTCTGAATATGACTTTATTTGGAAATAGTCTTTGCAGAGTGATTAAGTTATAAGGAGGTCATTGGGGTGGTTGCTGCTGTCATTATAAAATGGGGAGATTTGAACACAGACTCACACAGAGAGATGAAAGCAGAGATTTCAATGGTGCATCTATAAGCCCAAGATGGCCACCACACCACCCAGAGCCGGGGAGAGGGGCACGAAACAGACTCTCCCGTAAACCCTCAGAAGGAACCAAGTCTGCAAACATCTTGATCTTGGATTTGTATCCAGAATTGTGAGACAGTGCATTCCTGTTATTTAAAGACATGCAGGTTTGGGAACTTTATTACAGCCGCCCTGGAAAACTAAAACAACAGCTGATTGATTTTAACAAGAATGCCAAGTCTGATCAAAGGGAAGGAACAGTTCCTGACACAAGTTAGCCTGGAATGAATGGATTTCCACACACACAAAGAATGAAATTGGGCCCTTACCTCCCATTATACACAAAAACTTAACTAAAACTGGAGCAACAACAACCTCCACACAAAGAACTAAAACCATAGAACTCTTAGGAAAAAAACAAGCAAATCCTCATGACTGGATTTGGCAATAGGTCCTTACATACAACATCAGAACTATAAGCAACCAAAGAAAAAAATAGACAAATTGAGTTTCACCAAAATCAAAAGCTTTTGTGCATCTTAAGACATTATCAAAAAAGGGGAAAGACAAAAGTGGGGGAGAGACAACTTGCTGAGTGGAAGAAAATGTTCACGAATCATAAATAGAAGTTTATAGAATGTATAAAAAAACCTTGGCAATCATAGAAAGACTGACAACCAATTTTAAAATGAGCAAAAGGTGTGGAAATGCTTTTCTCTCCAATAAGCAGAGGGAAAACTGTTCAACACTAACCGTCATTAAGGAAATGCAAACACACACCACAACAAGACACCACTCTACCAGCACCAGGCTGACTATGGTTTTTACAAAAGTTAAACAACAAAGACTGGCACAGACGTGGAGAAACAAGAAATCTCATCAAGCTGGTGGGACTGTAAAGTGACACAACTGCTATGGAAGAGAGCTGTGCGGATTTTCAAAAAGCTAAACATAGAATTACAACATAACCCAGCAATGCCACATCTAGGTACACAGCCCAAAGATATAAAACAGGGACTTGAACTGACATTTGCATGCTGACACTCACTGGAGCACTATTCACAATAGCCAAAAAGGTGGAAATAATCCAAGTTTCCATCTCAGATGAATAAGCAATCAACACACATGTATGACAGTGAAATATTATTCAGCCATGAAAAGACATTAAGTTCTGACACATTGCTATTATATAGCTGTAACCTTGAAAATGCCGTGCTAAGCGAAAGAAGCCAGACACAAAGGACAGGTATTGTATAACCCCACGGACAGGTGTATGAAACATCTAGAACAGGTCAATCCAGAGACAGAAAGCAGATTCAAGGTTACTGAGACCATCGAAGGGAAGCGGGAGTCATTAACATGGAAATGGACTGGGGGGATGGTTGCAGAGTACTATGAATGTAATTAATGTCACCGAATTGTACACTTACAAATGGTAAAAATGGCCAATTTTCTATTATATATTTGACTGCAATTAAACAAATTTTGGACTTGGCTGAGGGAGGTCAGAGTCCAAAGTCCAAGTGAGGAACAGTCTGGGCAGATTCAGGGACAACTCCGTGAGTCTTAGCTTGTTTTTCATGTTGGCTTTGGTTTACGGAGTCAGGGTCTCGCTTTGTAGCTCAGGCAGGCCTCAAACTCGAAACGATCCTCCTGCCTCAGCCTCCCACGTGCTGGGATTACAAGTGCTCACCACCACACAGGTGCATTAGAATGAGTCAGAGACAGAACTGATGAGCCTGGTTCAGCAATCTGGCTGGGGTGCAGGGTCACCTGGTGAGGGGAGGTCAGAGAGCACCAATGCCTCACCTGAACATGGCGATGAGCAAATTGAGCAGCAGGATGTTGGCCACGAGCAGGAAGACAATGAGGAGCAGCACCACCAGCCAGTTGGCGTAAAGCGAGACGCAGGAGCCTGCCTGGGGCCCCGGAGGCTGAGCCCAGGCACCCTCCTCAGACGAGCAGTTCATAGGCGTCATGAGGGCCACTGCGAAAGCAGACACTCAGGGACCTGGCAAAGGGCTGCCAGCGGTAGGGCGGAGACCCACAGAAGGGGAGAGAGGCCCAGAGAGAAAAGCACGGGCACCCAGAGAGAGGCGGGGGCGGAGACCCAGAGGGAGGACGCAGGTCACTGGCCCTACCGTCCATGTCCTCCTGGGGGATCTGCCCAAAGATCTGCAGGTAGGGCCGGTAGAAGACACGACGCAGGATACTGAGGAGGTCACGGTCGCGGGGCCTTAGCAGCCCCTCAGTGGCCACGCCATAGGCGACCAGCCAGACGCCCAGGAAGAAGAGGAAGAAGAAGACATCCTTCATCTGCAGAGGAGGAAGCCGCCGCTGAGCTGGCCCTGCCCCACCCTGACCCCACCCCTCACTCCGGCCCCACCCTCCAAGCCACACCTCCCTCTGGCTCCTCCCCTCCACCCCACCCGTTGCCAGTAAGACCTCTCACCATCTTGCTCACGATGACGATCTTGGGCCCCAGCTGCTTGTTCACTGTAAAGATGTGCAGCAACCGCAGCGTGAAGATCATGAAGTCGAGGCACAGCACAGTGTGGCCCAGGTCATAGAGACCCGGGGTCAGCCTAGGGTCAGGGGACACCCAGCAGGCTCATTCAGAGGCCAGGGAGGAGCTGAGGCCTCCATGGGGCAGAACCAAGACCCCTGATTCACACGGGGTTTATTCAGTCACCAGTGCACACTGGGGTGCAGGGCACTGCACCTCTAAATAATGACTAAGTGAAAGGTTAAGGTTAGGTAAAAGCTGTGAGGTCCCTGTATGAATCAAGCTGGGAAAACTGCAGGAAGCAGGCCTGGCGGTCGGTAATGCCAGACCTGCAGAGGCTGAGGCTGGAGGATCAAGAGTTCAAGGCTAGCCTGGGCTGGAACGAGACTCTGTCTCAAAACTGCCGGAATAGCTGTCCAACCATTAAAAGCAAACTATATACAGATTGTGTGAATGATAAGAGTCTAACAGGAAACAGGATGAAGGATAAGACACACAATTCACAGAGGAAATTCAAAGGCCAGTAAACACCAGCAATATCCGCAGGAAAATAACAACTATATTCCTATTTTGTATCACCCTGCACTTAACTTGGGATGGACTGAACCTAGTGTAAAAGGTAAACATTAAAGTCTTCAGAAAAAAACACAGGCTTGCTTTATGAGCTTGGGTTGTATAGGATATCATAGGAAAAAAGTTGATCACCAGGAGTTCAAGGCCAGCCTGGGCTGCATAGTGAGACCCTGCCTCAAAAAACAAAAAACAAAAATCACAAGACATAAAATCATAATTCACAGACATAAAAATACAATAAGAAAAATGTTGATGAATTTGGCTGATTTGAAATATAAAATTCCTGTGCATGACATGGATATGGGACTGAGAAGGGGAAAACAACCTTTCTTTGGCATTTCTGCCCAAAATGCAGAGACTAAATTTGTTCACAAGGGAACATGGGCCAAACCCACATCAAAGGGACCCTGCCCAGCCACCGCTGGGCCCTCAACAGGGCGGACAGAGGTCACAACAGCAAAGGACGAGAAGACCTGACCAGAAAGGCAAATGGGCCCTCGTTGGCTCCAGGGCCATGGGAAGGATGTCAGTGGGACAGCTGGTGGGGTTTGGGTGTGGTTTCTGAGTTTAGATCACATCCTGTGTCGACATTTGGAGAACTCTTCGGGCTGTTTCTGCAACGTTTTTTAAGTCTCAGATTTTTTTCAATATAAAAAAATTAAAGAATAGAAGAATATTTAAGACAGCAGACAAAGTGAAAAGACAAATGGTCAGGCATGGTGGCACACATCTGTAATCCCAGCACTCAAGAGGCTGAGCTAGGAGAATCTCCATGAATTCGAGTCCAGCCTTGGCTTCATAGTGATTTCAAGGCTAGCCTGGAATACATAGCAAGAACTTGTCTCAAAAACAAAAACAAGAACAAAAAAACACAAAGACAAGCTACAAGTTGCATAAGATAGTTAAAAGAACAAAACTAAACAACTAGGATTCAGAATAGGACAGAGGGAAGGAAGGAGGGAGGGTGGGTGATCAATGAACTCCCATATAAAATTGGAAAGGGAGGACAAAATATGAAAATTACTGACATAAGTGTCCCACGTGGCCATTAAGTTTAAAAAAAGATGCCCAACCTACCTAGTGGGGTCACATGAACTAAAACAAGGGGAAGTCATCTTCACCCAAAGTATGGACAAAAATTGTGAAAGTCTGGGCTGGGGATTTAGCTCAGTGGTTCCGCTGCCTGCCTCACAAGCGCAAGGTCCCGAGTTTGATCCCTGGTACCAAAAAAAAAAGTGAAAGTCAAATTGAGAGCTAGAAAATGTTATAGATGGACAGTACCAGGCATTACCAAGAGCATCCTCAAGGGGGCACTGTGGTACCCTGGTGGTGGCATTGTGGTACCCTGATGGGGGCCATGTGCATGGGCGAAGCTACATAACAGGAAATCTGGGTCAGTAATGTATATGCCCTTTGATCCACCTACTTTTATCTGGGATGAAAACTTTCATTGTTTTAGAATTGCAGGAATAGAAATAATCTAAATGTCCATCTAGAGAGGACTGGCAAAATAAAGTGGTTCAGCCAGGAATGATGGCACATGCCTGTGATCCCAGCAATAGGGAGGCTGAGGCAGGAGGATCCCTACAAGTTCAAGGCCAGCCTGGACTACACAGCAAGACACTGTCTCAAAATTTATTAATTCATTAACTAATAAAGTGATTCATTCATTCAGTCGGGGAAGTAAGTGGACACTTCTCCCTAAGGCCGAGTGCTTCTTATTTTTCCCATGCGATGATTCTTCTGCCACCTGGAAAGTGGTGGATTTGATGAACTATCCGAAGCAGGCCTGGCATTCCTAGAGCATGACAGGAAGAGGCCTTGTTTTTTCACCTCAAAAGACCCTTTATACAAAAAAACAAGGGATGAGCAGAAGCATTAGTGTGCTGCAAGATCCCTTGCCTTGCTTGGTCTGGATTAACAACTCATGTCAGGTGACTTCATATCACTGTGACCCTGCGTGGTGGAAGCGGCCTCCTGCACCCACTGACAGCTTGAGCAGGGTCATTGCTGTCACTCAAGGTTTTTGCTTTTTTTTTTTTTCCCTCTGTAGTACTGAAGGTGGAGCCTAGAGCCTCATGCATGCTAGGCAAGCGCTCTACCACTGAAGGGCATCTTCAACCCTTTTTGTGTGTGTGTGTGTTTTTTTGGTACCGGGGATCAAACTTGGGTCCTAAATCCCTGGCTTCAACCCTTTTTATTTATATTTTGAGACAAGGTCTCATTAAATTGCCCAGGTTGACCTCCAACTTGGGATCCTCCTGCCTCCGCCTCCTAAGTAATAGGGATTACAGGTGTGCACCATTCCACCTGGCACAGGGAGGAAGGTAAACAGAAAGAAGGAGGGAGGGAAGGAGGGAGGGAGCGGGAGACTTATTGGCAGAAGAAGAACCAAAGCAGTTACCCTCTGACTGTAACTTCATACTACCTTGAGTAGAAAATGAAAGAAACCTTGTTGAAGAAACAGGATGATTTTTCTCTCCTGAACTTCAGAACTTTTGTCTCACTACCTTATAAAAAGAACTGATTCACTCATTAAATTCTGGCAAAAAGCAATCTGTCGCAACTGATCTTTAGCCAATGATGGCCCTAATCCTGTCCTCTGGAATCCGATGGGACATTTTCAGAGAATAAGATCCATTTGCAAATATTGACAGTGAAAGAACTTCAGGATACATGGTTGAGAAAAAAAAAAGTTGCCAGAAGAATATATATCACATCATTTTTGTACAAATAATGTGCATCTGTCCATAGAAATGAACAGAAAAACAGCAGACAGGGTGTGCCCCAAACTGTCAGTGGAGGAACCTCTGAGAAAGGAAGGGTGTTTTCAACCCCTGAGGAAAACCTTCAGTTTCTGATCTGTCCTTTATTTTTTAAAATCTTGTTCAATAGGGATATATTTCTTTTTTAAATTTTTATTTTTGTTTATTTATTTTTTTGGTAAGAGACTATATTTAAAGGTGGTTTAAGGGGGCCAGGGATTTAGCTTGGTGGTGCCATGCCTTCCTCAAAAGCACAAGGTCCTGAGTTCTATGCCAGTACCAGGGGAAAAAAAAAGACATTTAAGGGCCAAATGTAATCCCAGCACTTGGGAGGCTGAGGCAGGAGGATTGCCATGAGTTCCAGGCTGCCTTGGCTACATAGTGAGAAGCGTGAACTATGTAGACCACCTCAAAAAAAAGAGGAAAGAAAACCCAGAAACAAATAAATAAATAAATCTGCTGGCCTGGTTTAAGCTGCTGGAGGATGAGACAGATGTCACATGAGGAGTTTACAATTCCATGTGAGAGAAGGGCCAGGACAAGCCATGGTCAGTGCATCATTTGGGGGATCTCGGGAGACAGAAGGAATCCAGAGTCTGGAAGGACAAGGACCCTTTCAAAGGTGGGGACAGCTAGCTGAAGTTAAAGGAAGTGTGGGAGTTGGCCTGGTCATTGCTGGGCGGCAGTGATCCTAGCCACGTCAAGAGGCTGAGGCAGGAGCATCGAAAATTTGAGATCAGGGCCAGGGATTTAGCTCCGTGGTGCGGCTGCCTGCCTCGAAAGTGCAAGGTCCCAAGTTCAATCCCCGGTATAAAAAAAGAAAAAAGAAAAAAGAAAATTTGAGACCAGACTGGGCAGCTTAGCAAGACCTCGGCTCAAAATAAAATTAAAAGGGTCTGGGATGTAGCTCAGTGCTCCTGGGTTCAATCCTCTTTTTGGGGAGGGGGGATACTGAGGGTGGGAGGGGGGTGATAGGTACCAAGACCCAAAGAAACCGTTTGTGCCTGAGGACATTTTGCCTGGTCCTTTCCCCTTCCCGGGGGCACCATATGGGTAAGATCTGGAAGCATCATACAGCCCAGTCCTTGCAACAGAAAATATTAGAGAGGAATTCTCCACAATTCATATTTTATAAAAAATAAAAAGAAGCCGGGCATGGTGGTGCAGGGCTGTAATCTCAGCAATCAGGAGGCTGAGACAAGAGGATCACAAATTTGAGCCCAGGTAGGGCAATTTACGGAGACTAACGCAAAATAAAAAATACATAAAGACTGGGGATATAACGCGTGCAAAGGCCCTGGTTTCCCGGCCCAGTACTGGGAAAATAAAAACTGGGGAGACCCCTGAGCCTGGGTCCGGGCCCACTCACCGGCAGCCCACGCCCAACAGGAAGCAGGTGAGGGCCAGCAGGTCGCACTGGTTCCAGGCGTCGGCCACATAGAGCTGCAGGCGGTGGCGCAGCGCGATGTGCCCGGGCCGGGGTCCCCCGCTGACCAGACTCCCCCAGCCTCCGCTCAGGCCCTGGCGAAGCTCCTCACACAGCAGAGTGAAGGCCCAGAAGTACAGCAGCAGCTCCCAGGGCCGCGGTGCCCCTGGCTGGAAGTCGAGGAGCAGCACGCGCGCGAAGAGCAGCAGGAAGAGCAGGTAGCTGACCACGTTGCCCATGAAGGCTGTCACCGGCGACCCCCAGAAGCACGACCAGCGGCCCCGAAGGCCTAGCGGCTGCACCTTCACCAAGGAGTGGCTGGGTCTGTGGGAAGAAGGGGAGAAGAGGAGGCTTCAGCCTGAGCCTCACCTGCACCTGGGGCAACCTCTCCCCACCCCCCTATCCCCACCCCAGGCGTGTGGCGAATGCCCTGATCGGGCACTCAGAGGCTGAGGCAGGAGGATCAGTCGCCACCCCTGCATGGCCAGGGACCCGGTGGGACCTGAACGTCTTCTTCTCTTTTCTCCCCCCATCCCCTTACTGAGGGTTGAACTAGGACTTCGTTCACACTGAGCTACATCCCCAGTCCTCTTTTAGTTTGAGACAGGGTCTTGCTAAGTTGCCCGGGTTGGTTTGGACCTTGCAGTCCTCCTGCCTCAGCCTCCACGGATGTATGCACCACCAACCCTGGCTCCCTATGGTCTTGACCCGGTATCTAACCTCTGATCTCTGAAATCTCCTGCATCAAGTTGCTGATTTTCCGCCTCCAGCTTCCCCCGCCCTTTTGAACTCTGATTTCTGACTCTTGTCTAGCTTTTGATTCCAAATCCCTCTTTTTTGCCTTCACAACCTCTGACTTGCGTCATCTGCTGACTCAGACCCCAAAATGACCTGTGACCTCCTCACTTCCATGATCAGGACTCCCAGGTTCCACATCCCTGTCCCCGAAGATTAACCCCTGACCCACAGATTCCAGCTAATCCAGCCCAGGCTGCTCACATACTTCCTTCCCCATATGTAACTGATGATCACAAAACCAAATTTGCCTTCTGAATTCTGGCCTGGGGAATCTGCTCAAATCTCTGACCCTTCTTGCTTGGGTGCTGATCCTCTGTCCTGATTTCTTCCTCTTACCTCTGACCTTAAATCTGAGACATCCAAATGAATGGGAGTACTTACTATTAATCAATTTGAAACCAACAGGAAAGCCGGGTGTGGTGGTGCACCTCTGTAATCCTAGCACTCAGGAGGCTGAGGCAGGAGGATTGCTGCAAGTTTGAGGCCAGTTTGGGCTCCATAGTGAGCTCAAGCCCAGCCTGGACTACATACCAAAAGACTGTTTTAAAAACAAAGTAACAGGCCTTATTGCATGAGAGAATTAAATGGTCTGACTTTCAAAATAAAACAGCACAACGGCTCCCCACTGTGAGTATCCCATAACCTTAGCTACTATCGTTATCCTCATGGTCATCGCCATCATAGTGGAGAAAATGGGAAACCACTAGGCCATTCTTGATTTCTGACACTATGGCTTTTACCTAAACTTGCTCTGTGGCCCAAATATTTCTCTTGAGTTTTGTCTTCTATCTTGTTTTTATTTTTTCCAGCACTGGGAATCAAACTCAGAACCTTGCTCTTCCCAGGCAGGTGTGGCACTGCTGAGCTGCATCCCGGCCCTTCACTTCTATCTTGAATGCTTGGTTTTTTTGGGGGGGGGAACCGGGGATTGCACTCGGGCCCTTGTGGTTTTGAGGCAGGCAGCAGAACCACTGAGTTAAAGGCCCTGTTTGGTATTTTTTGTATGTACACTGTCTCAAAAAACAACATATGCAAATTTATTAATTTTAAAAAACAATGTATACATATACAGTCATGCGTCACTTACCCAAAGGGACACAGTCTGGGAAATGCATCATGAGGCAATTTCACCACTGCAAGTGCCACAGAGTGCACTCCCACAAACTAAGGTGGCTGGGTTTTTTTGGTGGTGCTGAGGATGGAACCCAGGACCTCACCCGTGCCAGGAAGGTGCTCTACTACTGAGTTGCACCTCAGCCTGGTTTTTTTGGGGGAGGGGGGCAAAGGCTGAGATAGGATCTTGCTATGTAATTTAGGCTGGCCTTAAACTCAAAGTGATCCTCCTGCCTCAGCCTCCTGAGTGCTAGAGTAGTAGAGGCAAATCTCAAGCCAGGTTGTGAGCTTGGCCTTGCACCCAGTCCCTCCTGGGACGTGAAGGCCACACATGTACCAAAACTGCCCAGGTCACCCCACTTCACACAGTGCTGGGGGTGTCACTCACCCATTGGGACCCTCTCCCTTAATGTCCCTGTCCGTGTCAACGTCAGGGTTCTTCTGATGCTGCGTGCACTCCTCTTCTGGTTTCCTTGCATGGAGGGGAGCACAGAGTAAGAATCAGACAGTGGTCTCCAGACAGACGAAAAGGTCTTTACCCAGAGACACTGCAGAGAGACAGAAAGGTGGCTCCCAAAGTCACCCCAAAGGGACCTTCTCCTAGGTCCATGGCCAGAAAACCAGAGGGGCTGCCCCTGCAGACACGGCAGGGAGTACCCCAAAAGCTCACCTTCTAGAACGTTCCATCCCGGGGAGGGACGGAGAGGCCCTCTCTCAGGGAAGGGGTGCACCAGGCAGGCCAAGCAAGGAAGGCAGGTGGAAGTGAGCAGGAAGAGCAACTGGGCACCCCTCCTGCCAGTGTCACCCCAGGGGACTGACCTGAAGGTGATGAGGTTGGTGCAGATCAGTGGGGGACAGAAGAAGGCGAGAACCAGGGCCCAGGTGGGTGTGGTGCTGTCCATCTCCCCCCACCATTTCTGTGTCAGCAGCGACTGTGGGGCATGGGGAGCATCAGGAGCCTGAGTCGTCCCCCACCCCAGCCTCCCTCTAAGCCCCTGCTGGAGGCCTGGGCCAGGGCTCTGAGCACAGAGCAAGTGCCAGTGCAGGGGTCATGGCTGTGAGGGCTTGAGGAACCGTGGTCAGAGCAGACAACTTGCCCAGGGTTTGGCAGCCAACATTTATGGACATCATGAGCCAGATATTGGGCTGAGCACTTTCCACAGATTAGCTCATTTCACCCTGGCTACACCCCAAGAGGATGGTACTAGTACTTTCTCCTTTTCACAGCCAAGGCAGAGATGTTAAAGAAACGACCCAAGGAAATCAGTAAATGGTAGAGCTGGAATCCGTGAGTTTCTCTACTAGGCAAAGCAAGTGACTCTGGGTAATTACTGAAATCCCAGCCAAATCATCCTAATAGGTGAGGATGGGACTTCTTGTTCGTATAAACAAGACTTCCTGCTGGGTGCACAGAACTTTCTGTGTTGAAGGTGGGAACTTCTGTGATCTGGTCAGATTTAAATGAGGGCTACTGAGGGAGACAGGAGGATCACCATGAGTCCAAGGCCAGCCTGAACTACAGAGACCGTATCTCAAAAAATAAGTGAGGCCTACTGAGAAAGTTTACAAAATGTCCAACTGTCAGGATGGAAGAGAATTTAGGGCATGCAGTACTGCCCATGGAAAAGAATTTCCTATAGGAAGGGTGGGATTTCCTAAACAAAAGTCTATCTATGTCCAAAACACTAGCTAATTATTTGTGAGGTCATTCTAATTGTTGAGAATCAGAACTAGGGACCTCGTAAATGCACAGGACTTCCTGTGGATGAAGCAGGGCTTCCTCTGAGGGGAATGGGAGTTCCTGCAACCATAGATGAGATGGGACTTCCGCTGGGAGGAGAGAGACTTCCAGTGGGTTTGGGAAGGACTTCGGTGCGAGAGGTAGAACTTCCTACTAGAAGTAACAGGAATTCCTGGACCCGGAGAGGAACTCTGTAAGGTAGTGGGCTTTGCTGTGGGAAGACTGGCAGGCGGTGGGGCTTCTTAATGAAAGGAGCCAGACTGTCCCAGGAGGGTGGCCTTCAGGGCAGGGTCCACTCTAGACCAAGGGGGGCCCCCAATGACAGGGGTTCATCCACACAGTCCCCAGAGTCAGACGCTCACCTGGACCCCATCCTGGGCAAAGAAGGCTCGAGCGTCAGCCTGCATGGCAAGCTGGAGACAGGTAGCATCGCCCCAGAGCGGGCAGCGACGGAGAAGTAGTCGGGAGGCCCTTTCCTCGCTGCTTCGGTAGCACTCTCCAAAGAGGTCTGGGGACAAGGCGCTCAGTGACAGAGAGGGAAGGAGCGGGCAGGGGGGACACATCCCGCTCCCACAGCAGCCCAGACCTGGCCCCAGCCTTCTGTCCACGCACCTACACCCATGCTCTCAAACTTGGCGGCCAGCTCTTTCCGCCGGGCCGCCTCCTCCGCCTCAGCTTCCAGGCGGGCCATCACTCGGAGGAGCAAACAGGCCCCAAGAGCAGAGGACACAGCGTTAGAGCCCTGGGGAGACAGAGAGTGGATGGGGTCAGTTTGGGGTGAGGGTCAGAAGTGGGGCAGAAATTAACTGGGGTCATCAGAGCCCAGGGTTAAGTAATCTTCACTGAGACAAACACTCCATGGTTCCACTGAGATGAAGTCTAGATGGGGCCGGGGATTTAGCTCAGTGGTTTCGCCGCCTGCTGTGCAAGCGGAAGGACCGGAGTTCGATTTCCGGTACCAAAAAAAAAAAAAAGAGAGAGAGAGATGAGGTCTAGAGGGCGGTGGTCACATTCAGTAACAGAGGAGGCTGGTGGCTGCCAGGAGCTTGAGTGAATGGGTAGAGAGTTCAGTTTGAAAAGAAGTTCTGGAAGTAAACAATGGCAGTGTTTGCACAACAATGCAAATGCTGCACAAATGTACACTTAAAAACTGCTAAAATGGTCATTTTCTTTTTTTGTGTGGAGACAGGCTCTCACTATATAGTGCAGGTTGGATTTGAACTCTTTTTTTTCTGGTACCAGGGATTGAACTCAGGACCCTGCACTTTCAAGGCAGGTGAGGCACCACTGAGCTAAATCCCTGGCCCTTGGACTTGAATTCTTGATCCTCCTTCCTCAGCCTTCCAAGTGCTGGAATTTCAGGTGTGCACCATTACACCTGGCTTAAAATGGTAAATTTTACATTATGTATATTTTACAATTTTTTGGTTTTGGATTTTTTTTTTGTACCAGGTATCGAACTCGATCCTTGCGCTTGTGCAGCAGGTGACAAAACCACTGAGCTAAATCCCCGGCCCTTTACAATTTTTTGAAAGCAGAAAATTTGTTGACAACATAGAGAAGATGAAACTGCTATATATTGCTGGTGAGAATGTAAAAAAATAGCGATCCTTGTTGGAAAGTGGGGAGGTTCTTCAAACAATTAAACACAAAGTGTCTTAGTTACTTTTCTCCTTGCTGAAACAAAATACCCGACGCCCAGAGTTAAAGGGGAAAAGGTTTATTTAGCTCACAGCTTGTAGAGGCCTCAGTCCACAATCGGCTGGCTCCAAGGCAGGGCAGCATGGCAGAGGGGGATTGCAGAGGAGAAACAGTTCATGGACAGCAGAAGGTAGCAAAGAAAAGCAATTGAGGGGCCTTAGCAGCTTTTTTCTGCCCCTTTTATAGTCTATCTAGGCTACCAGGATTAGGGTGGTACCAAACCAATCAGTGGACTGATTTAGAAATCACTCATACTTAACCCTAGCACCCTTAATCCCAGCATTGCACCATGAGTCACTCACACACTCTAGATTCAGCCACCCATGAAAAAGCCCCACCTATGATGCATCAGGCTTTGAGGGGACAGCTAGACACAAGCCATGACACAAGGTTTCTATACGACCCAGCAATTCCACTTCTAGATAAATGGCTAAAAGAGTTTTGAAACAAAACTTGTACGTGAATATTCACACCGCCCTTATTCACAATAGCCAAAAAGCAGAAGAACTCAAATGAATGGATGGATGGATAAAATGGGATCTGTTCACACAATGGACTATTATTCAGCTATAAAGAGGAACGGAGCACTGCTAGCTGCTATAATAGGGATGAACCTTGAAAACATTATGAAAAGGAAAGAAACCAGTCACAAAAGGCCGTATCATGTATGGTTGCATTTAGATGAAATGTCTGAAATAGGCAATGCATAGAGACAGGAAGCAGATTAGTGGTCACCAGAGGGTAGGGGGGATTGGAATGTGGACTGACTGCTTAGGAAGTAAAAGGTTTCTGTTTCCAGTGGTTTAAAGTTCTGGAAGCAGGCAGTGTGATGATTACACAACACAGTGAGTGTACTAAATGCTTCTCAATTGTATACTTCAAAAAGGGTTGAGTGGTGAAGCCAGGCGTGATAGTGCATGCCTGTAACTCCAGCTATGAGGAAGACTGAGGCAGGATACAAGTTGGAGCCCAGCCTGGGCAATCTAGAAAGATCTTGTCTCAAAATATAAAAAGGCTACAGATGTAGCAAAGAGGCCCTGGGTTCAATTCCCAGTTCAAATAAAAGTGTAAGTGGTGAATCTTATATGAATTTATATCTCAATTTTTAAAAACCTCCATTAAAACAATTTGAATCTATGACCTGATGTGTTGAAACAGCCCATTGTTTTTGTTTGTTTGTTTTGCTTTGTTTTGTTTTTGAGACAAGGTCTTCCTCTGTAATTCAGGCTGACTTCAAACTCATGGCAATCCTCCTGTCTCAGCCTCCCCAAGAGCTAGGGAAACCAGCCCATTGTTTTCTTTTGTTTTTGGTACCTTGCCCTTGCAAGGCAGGCACGGTGCCACTGAGCTAAATCTCCAGCCCAAAACAGCCCATTGTCAAAAGGACCCTATCAGGATGGTTGTGTTTATTTGTTTGCTGTTTGTTTGAGACAGGGTCTCCCTATGTTGTTCAGGTTGGACTTGAACTTGCTACGTAGCCTAGGATAGCCTTGAACTCACAGCGATCCTTTTGCCTCAGCCTCCCAAGTACTGAGATTACAGGCGGGTTCTATGGAATAAAAGCGACTTCATTTTGGATCCTGTTTGAATCCCATGATTGTTTCTGCTCCTTTCAACTTCTCAGACCCCTCTCCCATGTGCTACACCTGCCCTGGGAGTGGGACTGTGTGGAAATGACTTCCTCTTACCTGCCGGCTCAGGTCCAACCTTCCACCGGAAACCACTGTAAAAGAATGGCTTTATCTGTGTGACCATGGGCAGATGCCCAAGATATAGCACTGTACATTGTTCATGGAAAAATCCGCTTATGAAAAATGCTTGCTATGGGGGAGAGAAAAAGAAGGCGAAGCCGTTGGTGTCCTATAACAAGGACTGAGGACGGAGTGTGGCCTGGGTTATGTCAGAGGTCAGGGCATCGTGCAGAGAGGTCCTTGGTGTCCCTTAGGCCACCCTAAGAAGTAGGATCCGAGGCAGACGTCACCACTCACCATCTCCCAGAAGTACATGGCCATCTGGGCTCTGTTGAGCAGCAGTGCCCAGAGGAAGAAGTCGCTCCAGGGAGCCTGCCCCAAGCTGGCTTCCAGAGCCGGTTCCGAGGCGGCCCAATCAGAGAGCAGAAAAACCTGCAGGCGCGGGAGGTGTGGCTAGGGCTGGCCGCTTCCGGCCAGGGGTCCTTGAGCCCCGCCCCCTCGGATTGCCCCGCCCCTCTGGATTGCCCACGCCCCTCCGCTGTGGTCCCGCCCCCGGTCCCTCCGAGCTCCCTGGCCTTAGCCGCCCGCTTACGGTCTCGCAGCAGCCCTTGCCGGTGTGGGGGTCCCGGGCTTTCACGGCTGGGTACCTCGGCGCGCACGTCTCCCCCAGCAGCGTCCTCAGCACTTGCCCCACCTGAGGCGGCCGGAGCTCCTCAGCGTCCCCTTTGGGCCCCGGGGCTTTGGTGGCCGCCCCGTGGGCCGCCTGGTCCAGAAGCGCGCGGATGAGCGAGTGCGCGGGCGCTGCACCGTAGAGCTGGGTCAGGCGCGCGGGCGTCAGGAAGTGGCCCAGGCTGAGGCCGTGGGAGATGAGCAGGCGCACGAACTCGGGTCGGTCGTTCAGCAGAGCGTCCATGAGCGACGCCTCCAAGTGGAAGGACTGCGGGGAGGAGTGGGGCACGGGATGAGCAGGGACAGAGGCCAGGGAGGCGCCGAGGTAAGGAAGGAGATGGGCCGCTATGAGTGACCGATGGACAGATGGATGAACGGATGGATAGATGGATGGATGGATGGATGGATGGAGAGAGGGAACAAGCTGGGGACAGATGAACAATGGAGATGGATGGACAATTCGGGGAAGGCTGGACAGGTCATAAAGGAAGGCAGGACCGGGTGTCCAAAGGCAGGGAGGGAGGGGAACCACCCTTTGGCCAGAGCCCCAAACCCCAGGCCCTGACCCCTCACCCGCCACTGGATGTCCCCCCGGAAGAGTTCACTCTGAGCGATGTCCACGCGGTTCCAAGCCACAGCCAAACGCAGCTCGTCCAGGTAGGCTGAGGCCTCAGAGCTCCTACAGGCTGCAGGGTGAGAGGGAGCAGGGTGGGGACATATGAGTGGAGCTACATCCTCGCCCTTTTATTTTGAGGCAAGGTCTCCTGCAGTCAGTAGCTGCTCAGCCTGGGCTGCCTCAGCCTCCCAAAGTCCCGGGATTATAGGCGTGTGCAGCCATGGCCAGGTGGAACAGGAGGTCAGTGGACTCAGGGCCAGCTCAGAGCACTGGATCAGAGCCACCAAGCTACCAAAGAGCATCACTTACTCATGTCACATCTCTCTGTTCAGGGAAACACAGGCTGTGATTAACCTGTGGAAAATCAGACACCTGTCTGTGTGTGGTGTCATTTGCCTGTGATCCCAGCACTTGGGAGGCTGAGGCAGGGGGATCACTGTAAATTTGAGGCCAGCCTGGGCTACATAGTGAGCTCAGAGCCAACGTGAGCTGCAAAGTGAGACCTTGTCTCAAAAAAAAAAAAAAAAAAAATCAGACACCTGAAAACCTCATGAAAAGAACGAGGCAACAATAGCAGAAAATGAAGCTGGAAAAAAATCTGAACAAAATAACTGCAGGAAGTTATTGAAAACAGCACCACAGGGCCGGGGATTTAGCTCAGTGGTTTCGCCCCCTGCTGCGCAAGTGCAAGGACCCGAGTTTGATCCCTGGTACCAAAAAAAAAAAAAGAAAGAAAAGAAAACAGCACCACAAACCAAGTGTGGTGGTGACACAGGCCTGCAATCCCTGCACTCTGGAAGGCTGAGGCAGGAGGAACACGAGTTGGAGCCCAGCTGGGTCAATTGAGCCACTTAGTGAGACCCTGTTTCAACATAAGTAAATAAAAAGGGCTGGGGATGTAGCTCAGTGCAAAGGCCCTGGGTTCAATCCCCAGTATGGGGGGAGGGGGGAAAGCAGCAGGGGAGAAGAGGTCTTAAATGCATCCAGATGCACAAGGCCCACAGGGATAAGAAAGGTCCAGGGGGCACATGCTGTTCACAGCTCTTGTCCTCCTTCTGCCTCTTCTGCTCCGTATTCATCTCCCATGCAGAGGCATCCCATGTCATTCTGCAAACTACTGTCACAAACCAGCTGACCAGTGTCATGGAGACAGCAGGCCCAGGAACGCCAGTTGAGTGGCTACAAAGGGGGCCGACCATGGCACCCTGCGGCATCGGTGTTCCCAGCAGCTGCAGGATGCGGTCGCAAACCACGAGGCACCTGCAGCTTGTCCAGCGCCCCCCTGAGGCTGAGGACATGGGGGTCCAGAGGGGCGCAGTGAGGGGTGGAGCCGTGACTTGGCCTTTATTCCTTTTTGTAAAACAGAGATGGATTCAGAGTGGGATTTTCTGAGATTCTATGAATCTCCCCTACTTTTCTCATGGTTTCAAGAGAAGAAAAGGCAATGTTTGGTTTGGAATTACTTTGGTTTATGGGGGTAATGGGGATTGAACCCAGGGAGTTCTGAGCTGCCTTGACAGCCCTTTTTTGAAATGTTTAAAATACGCTGACACAAGGTCTCACTGGCTCCCAGGCTGGCCTCCAACTTACAGTCCTCCTGCCTCAGCCTCCTCAGTAGCTGGGATAACAGGCGTGCGCCACCTCACCTGGCAAGACAGTGGTGTTTAAGAGCATGCTTTATATTCTGACTTAACCTGGCACCACCGGTCACCAGGGCCTCCCGAGCCCTCTGTGCTCCCCCTGTCCCATACCAAGCTTGGGGGCCATACCCAAACCCCTCTTCCTAGGTCTGCCTAGTGAGCCAGCTGGACCCAGGAACTGTCCCTGTCCCTCCCCTCCCCTCCCCTCCCACAGCCCGTCAGTCCCCAAGCCCTATCTCCAGCCCTTGCCTCTTGAATGCTGTCTCTGTGTCCCCAGTCACAGCTCCAGCTTCAGCCTCCACAGTCCATTCCCATGCTCACGGGCTCCTCTCCCACGCCTGGGGTTCTCACACACAGAACTGACCTTTGCTGCTGTGCTCCCCCCAGGACTCTGTTCTAGGCCCAGCCTGGTATCATGGTCCCTGGTGGCCTTGCTGCCAGATGCTGCAGCCCTCAGGTGACCCTCTAACCCCTCCCAGTCATACAACGCCTCACCCTGTCAGTGGCTGGGTGACCTTGGGCAAGTCACTTGTCCCCTCTGAGCCTTCGTCCCTTCATCTTATAATGGGGGCGCTCCTTGCAGGTGGAGGCAGAGGACGAGGGCTGAGCATACATGCTCACTGCTCCACACAGCGCCTGGTGCACCCCAGAAGCCTAAGGAGTGAACCCCATCCATCCTCTGCTACCTGAAAGGCCATGTGGCCAGCGCCTGAGTCCCCAGAGACTCACAGCCCCACCCCTGAACCACAGCTTACAGAGCTGCTGCGCTTTCTCCTGGGAGCCTGCTGGGTTAACTTCTGAAAAGCAAACCGGATTTGCCCACTGGCTGTCACCCTCCGTTTGAAGATGTGTCCCCAAGGAGACAGAATCACACAAGAGCCCCCCTTCATGGGGTCCCCACTGAGGACCAGGCACTGCCACTGGGGCCCACGATGCTCCTGCTAGGTAAGATCTTCATCTTTCAGAGAGACAAACTGAGGCTCAGAGAGGGAAAGCCTCTTTCTTAAGGTCACACAGCCAGGAAGGAGCCCTGCTGGTGTTCAAATTCAGCATTGATTCCAAAGTCAAAAGCAATCACTGCTTTTTAGCACCCCACAAACATGACGGGTCCAGTTGGGGGGACCGGGGGCTCCTGGTATGGTGTGAATGCCACAGTATCTTAAATTTTATTTAACAATGTGTCGAGGGCTTTGGATGTAGCTCAGTGCTAGAGTGCTTGCCTAGCATGTATGAGGCCGTGGCTTCCATCCCCAGCACAGAGAGAAGGAGAGAGAGAATGACTCTAGCAAGATCTGGCTCCTTGAGATCAGGAAATGGCTGTTTGTTGAATGAATAAGTAAGCCCCATTCTTAGCCTCTGTCAGCCATCCGTGATGGCCCCTGCCTTGGTTTCCATACTCAGGCTAAGATGCCATCTCTAGTGAAATATCAGAGTTCTTCACTGAGCATGCTTTGGTTCCTATCTAGACAAGGTGTGTCCCACCTAAAGGAGGCACGTAGGAAAGGAAGAGTGGGTGGATAGATGGCTAGGTGGGAAAATGGATGGATGCATGGATGGAGAGTAGAAGAGTGAGTGGATAGAATTAATGGATTTGTGGATGAATAGGTAAAGGGATGATGGAAAAGTGAAGGATAAATAGATGAAAAGATTGGTGTACTTATGGGTGGACTGATGGAAAGATGAAAGAATGGATGCATGGATCCAACAGAGAAACACTCCAGAGGGGAAGAACTCAGAGACAAAAGGCACATGGTGCTCAGATGAGCGAGGGCAACACAGCGCCCAGGCCAGGAAAGGGGCCAAGGCTGAACTGGGAGAGAGAGCTCTCGGGAGCCCAACCACTACCTTTCACGAGGGCCTTCAAAACGATGGTCTCGAATTCCTCCGCGCCATCCTCCGATGAATAGACGGTCAGCAGCTCCTTCCGGGTCATGATCCTCTCCACCTGCAGATGTGGAATCCTGCACACCCAGCCCAGCACCTCCGGGGCCACTGCCCCCCAGGCCCCAGCCCCCCACCTCAGGATCAGAGGAGGCCCCAAAGTCATACCTGGGCCTGCAGGACCCCGGGGTCCCCTTTGGGGAAGAAACGCCTGATCCAGTCTTGGGCTTCACCTCGCCTGGTGCCCCCACTCCCTGGGGCCAGAGAGTCTTCCAGGATCTCGGCCAGGCAATCAGCAGCACCCCCAGAGCCGGCCACCAGGAGGCAGGGGAGCTGTGCCTGGGTGGCGTCCTCTACCCGCTAAGGATGCAGGGGACAGCAGGTCAGGGGAGGCAGGATGTTCACCTTCCAGTCCCTCCTCCACTAGGGAAAACTCAGGGCCAGGAGACCTGGCTCCCTCCACCTCCCCTATACCTTCAACATCTTCTCATCCCCACCGATCAGCAGGAGGAGGACGGGGATGTCAATTCCGGTCCCTGAGGGAAGAGAGCGGGAAGATGGTTACCACCCATCAGCCTCTGCGCCTATGGGAGACCACACTTTCAGTAGTCCCGGGAGCAAGAGGCTGGCCTCTTCCCAACCCTGTGCTTTGAGAATCATGGGACCTGTGCGTGCGTACATGCATGTGTGTGTGTGTGTGTGTGTGTGTGTGTGTGTGTGTGTGTACTACTAAGACTTGAATCCAAGGCTTTTGCCCTGAGCTACATACCCAGCCTTTTTTTTTTTGGTACTGGGGATCGAACTCAGGACTTTCCGCTTGCAAGGCAGGCAGCGGAACCACTGAGCTAAATCCCCGGCCCCCCCCCTTTTCTTTTAAATAATTACCTAGTAGCTAAGTTGCCCAGATTGGACTCAAAATTGCCATCCTGCTGTCTCAGGCTCCCAGAGTGGTTGGATCACAGGCATGCACCACCACACCTGTTTTGTTTTGTTTTGTTGAGACAGGGGCTTGCTATGTAGTACAGTCTGCCCTTGAAAAGTGTGTAGCCTAGGCTGGCCTGTAACTCACTCCAGTCTTCCTGCCTCAGCCTCCTTCGTGCTGAGATTAGAGGTGTGTGCCACCACGCCTGGCCCCAGCTGGGAGTTGTCATTTCTCTGTGCCCTTTGGGAGAAGGCCATACTGTTGAACCTCTCAGAAGAGAAGAGAGCTTGGGACGAGACAGGCCCCTGAGTGATCCAGGCATTTCTTACTTGAGTCAGTCCTTAACACTGATTAACCAATCAGAAGCCAGAGGAGGTAAAAGTTCACATAGGAAAAGAAGGAAATAGGAATACAAAGAACTATCCAAGTGTAATAAAGTTCTTTACCAAGGTCCAACAGCAAAATCCTGTAAGATGGTTTTACGCAACTTCCTTTTTTTTGGTACTGGGGATAGAATTTGGGACCTTGCGCTTGCAAGGCAGGTGGCAGAACCACTGAGCTAAATCTCCAGATGTAAGATGGTTTTATGCTAACTCTGGTCCCATTAAAATAAGACACGACCCAGGGACGTAGCTCAGCTTATTTTTTTTTTTTTATTAATAAAATAAAACACTGGGCTGGGTTAGCACTATTCACACTCCACTTAGCCTAGAGCTGTGACCTAATGTAGTAATGCAAGAAAATAGAATAACTGGAATTAAAACCAGTATTTGGGGGGTGGGAGGGGTACCAGGGATCAAACTCAGGACCTTCCACTTCCGAGGCAGGTGGCAGTACCACTGAGCTAAATCCCCGGCCAAAACCCAGTATTTTTCTAAAAAATTGGAAGAAGCAAAGTATCTATTTTAAGAAAATATGGAATTATATTCCTAGAAAATTAGAAGATTTGACCAAAAAATAAAATTTTTAAATATTTGTAAGAGAATTTGGATTAAGAAAAACACACAAAAATCAAAAATTTGTGTCCAGACTAATAATAATCTTTATCTTGCTGGGTGTAGTGGCGTGTGCCTGTAATCTCAGTACTCAGGAGGCTGAGGCAGGAGGATCACCACAAGTTTGAGGGCAACCTGGGCTACACAGAGAGACCCAGTCTCAAAAATCTAATCATGGGGCCGGGGACTTAGCTGGGTGGTTCCATTGCCTGCCTCGAAAGTGCAAGGTCCTGATACCAAAAAAAAAAAAAATCTAATCATAAGCATAACCTGTATCTTATTTATGTTTTAATAAAAACTATAAGATATCTGGGAATTTTTTCATCCAGGAAGATACAGCATTATTATGAGAAAATTTACAAATCTTAGTTAAGCTGGAAGCCTGAATAAATGGAAAAACTATCATTGATTCACCCATCTTAACACGTAAAGTGAATGTGACTGGGGAAAGAGGAGGGGCTAAGGATGTGTGAAGTGTGTACCCAGTTTTAAACAGAACAGATGATTTTAAAAAGCATAAATGTCAGAGAAGCGCCAGAAAATTTTTGAGACAGGACGGTGAGAAGGAATGTTCCCTCACACATCTTTAAACTGCTCTAATCAAAACATTGTTCTGGCACAAGAATAGATAAATATAGATGTGAGAAAGAGAAGGTTCCAAAACAGATCTCAACATATAAAAGAATTGCGTATTTAACTGTGGCTAAAGGATGGTTTTATTTATTAAACAGTCATGAAGAAAATATGATTCCCCAAGGAAGGAAAGAAATGTGCATTCCTTATTTCAAATATGTAAAAATCGTTTCCAGATGGATTAAAGGTTTAAATACTAAACTGTGAGATATTTTTTTTAAAAGACTCAGGACATTTCTCTTGGGGAGGGCTGTCCCTAAGACAGTATACCCTGACGATGAAGGAGACAGCAAATATCTAACCACATAAAAAAGGGACAGGGCCGAGGATTTAGCTCAGTGGTTCCGGCGCCTGCCTCGCAAACTCAAGGTCCCAAGTTCGATCCCCGGTACCAAAAAATAAGAAAAAACCGACAAAAATGGGACAGAGGGCGGGGACTTAGCTCAGTGGTTTTGCCGCCTGCTGTGCAAGCACAAGGACCCGAGTTTGATCCCTGGTACCAAAAAAAAAAAAAGGGACAGAAATTTTATGGCAATAGACACCAATATTAAAAAAAAATTTTTTTTTGAGACAGGATCTTGCTATGTAGCCCAGGCTGGCTTTGGATTCACGGTGATTCTCCTGCCTCAGCCTCCCAAGTACTGGGACAAAAGGTGTGTGGCACCATGCTGGCTAAGGAATATCATCATCGTGTGTGTGTGTGTGTGTGTGTGTGTGTGTGTGTGTGTGTGTTGCTGGGAACAGAGCCCAGGCCTTCATACATGCAAGGCAAGGGCTCTTTCACTGAGCCACATCTGAGCCCCCCATCAATGATTAAAAGTGGCAGCGAGACAGAGAATTTGGACCTGAAGGTGCTTGTGAGGAAAGCAGCTCATGTATCCACATGGCACCAAAACCAGAAATATCACAGAAATGGGAATGTAATTCCACAGAATCCTACAACACAGAGAAGTGCGTGAAAGGGTACACTCCAAACAGCTGAACACCGATTACCCCAACTGGTGGAAAGTTGGAACCAGGAAAGAAAATAATTGACTTTTTTATTCACCTTTTTATGATTTGACTTTTTTCCTGTGAGCACACTCTAAAGCCGGCCTCAGAAGGTTACAAAGCAAGGTACAGTTCAAGGACCTTCATTCCAAATGCCAAAATCCACAATGTTCTCAAATTAGAAATACATGAGTGCTGACATAATGCTCAAAAACTTGGGATTTTGGAGCATTTTGGGTTTCTCTAACTAGAGATGCTGAACTGCATACTATGCCTGAAATCCAGAAATCTCTGATACTGGAACCATTTCTGATCCAAGGATTTCAGACAAAGGCTACTCAACCTGTATTGCTCTTACAATACGACCTTCTCGCGAGACAAAACTATAGTGGTGGAAGCCGGGCATGGAGTCCCACGGCTTTGATCCCAACCCTCCAGAGGCTGAGGCAGGAGGATCCCAGGAAGTTTGAAGCCAGCTTAGGCTACATAATGAGACTTTGTCTCAAAAAATAAAACAAAGCAAGACCAAAAAAAACACTAGGAATGGAGACCAGATAGTGGTTGCCAGGGGATAGAGATACAAAGCCAGTCCTTTGCAGTAACAGAACTGACCTGCATCTTCCTTTGGTCCCAGATACACCAATCTATACGTGTACAAATCTTCACAGACATTCTACCCAAAAAAGCCCCTTTTAATACTATGTAGAGGGCCGGGGATTTAGCTCAGTGGTTTTGCTGCCTGTTGTGCAAGCGCAGGGACTCGAGTTCAATCTCCAGTACCAAAAAAAAAAATACTGTGTAGTGATTTTAAAATTAAAATTGAAGCTGAGCAGAGCTAAACAAAATTCAATTAACTCTGACAGAGTGTGGTGGGGCAAGCCTGTAAGCCCAGCTCCAGAGAGGCTGGGGCAGGAGAAGTCTAAATTGCAGCCCAGCCTGGGGCAATTTAGTGATTTAGTGAAATTCAGTTCAGAGAGCTGGAATATAACCGAGTGCTAAAGCCCTGGCTTCAATCCCCAGTGCCACACACAACATAGACCACTACTTTGTGAATACAGAAAATGTTTACAAAGAAGCTGCTTTTAGTTTTGTTTATTTTTCTCTGCTAAACATTTGTTTCTGTTTTATTGATTTCTGCCCTTCTGTTTATCATTTCCATAGTTCCTCAGATTTGATTTACTATTCTGTTTCTAGGGCTTGTTGCTGTTGTAAAGTTTGGAAGGTTAAATCACTGATGCTCCGGTTTTCTTTTCTGATCTATGCATTTAAATCTATACGCTTCCCCTCACGCATTATACCCTATCTGTATTAGGTTCAAAACATTTCCTAATTTTTGTTTCTTCTTTGGCCAGTGGGCTACTTACAAACTCAGCTCTTGCAATGACGTGAATGAAACTCATGGAATCCACACTAAATATAACAAGCCAGGCCCAAAAGTATACGCTGATTGTCTGTGTGAGGTATAAATGCGTCCAGAACTGCTCCCAGCTGGAGCTCGGGGCTTGGCCCAGGGGAAGCGCACCTACCTGCCAAGTGCAAGGTCCCGGGTTCCACCCCAGCCCCTGCTTGCTGGCAGGATGCATGGGGGGCGGGAGAGATGGTAAAACCCAAATTCTGGGCGCTGGGCTCCCGGGCACTGCACCCCAGGTCTGGGGGGCCTGGGGGCCCCAGAGCCACTCACCGCCCACGCCCGTCTTCTGCTGCGCCACATAGGACTCGAAGCGCAGGCGGAATCGGTCCTCGCCGCCCAGGCGGCCGTGCCTGCCGTCGTCCACCAGGAAGAAGGCCGAGTAGTTGTAGTCCAGGGGGAACTCGACCCCGTCCTCCGGGTCACCGCGCCACCACCGGTACTTCGCAGGGAACGAGCCCTGGGGACAAAGGAGCCAACCGAGTCCTTCAAGGAGGACAGAGGGAGAAGCTTCTCCTCCCTCAGACCCAGAACGGCCCCCGCCCCCTGCCTCCCCGACCTCGGTTCACCTTGGCGTTGGTGAGGGTGTCTCTGTTCCAGACCACACCCCAGGGCGCAACACCCATGGCCACCACCTTGCTGCCCCCGGTGCTAGCCATCTGGTGGTCCCGCACTGCCACACCCACATGCCTGCCGATGCCAGTGTGCAGCCCCCCGGTGACAATCCAGGCCCCTGCACAGAGGGACAGGTAAGGAAAAGCCACATGACAAGTGCAGGCAGCGTTCGAGGAGGCAGTGGGGCCTGGCCACCCGCCCTCGGTCACCTGTGCTCTGGGCTGCCCGCACCAGCCCACGTCGTAGCAGGTCCTGCAGCCAGGTCTGGAGGACGGAGCCCCCCGAACCCCCCAGGACCGACACCACAAGGTTTGGGGCTCGGAAACCCCATGTGCGGGTGACCAGACTATAAATGGTTGCTGGATCCGTGCGGTCAGACAGCCGGAGGAACTGTGGACACACAGGGAGGGGACACGGGGAAGGATGGAGACCAGAGACGTGGGGGACAGGGACAGAGACAGAGGGGCACAAGGACAGAGGCCCAGGGGGAGAGACAGGGGTCCACGTGGGGAGACATGTGCCCAGCCTTGACCCCCCCCGCCCCGCCCACACTTGCAGCCTCACATTGCTGGGCCTGCGGCCGGCGCCCAGGAATTCCAGGTCCCCGTAGGCATCGGTGGGCTTCTCCGTGGTGTGCACATCACTATCCCACACAGTCACCACGGCCGCACCAAATGCATCCTCCACGGCCACCGAGGTGTGGGCACTCCAGGGGCGCCCACACTGGCACAAGGTCCCTCTGGGGGTGCAAAAGTGGAACATGAATCCCAGCAGCCCGTAGGAGCGTCTGTGTGGCCTCTGTCCCCAGAGGGAGTCAGAGTCCACACTGACCTGGCACTGACCCTGACACCTGGGAGACTAAGGCAAGGACAGATGCAGCCCCCCTTTCCCACCAGAAGGAAGCACATGTAAGCGGAGGGAGCGCACGGCTCCACCCCACTGTGGCCTGCAGGGTCAGCGGGGGAAAAGCAATGACAGCCCTCGGCCAGGAGGTGATGGTCACAAGGAGGTAAATTCAAAACAGAAAGAAAGAAGAAACATTTTGAGAAAAAAATCCATCAGGGCATAGTGATGCAGTGCATGCCTGTAATCCCAGCACTTCGGAGGCTGAGGCAGGAGGATCACCACAAGCTTGAGGCCAGCCTGGGCTACATAGTGAGTTTCAGGCCAGTCTCAACTACATAGTGAGACCCTGTCTCAAAACATAAATAAATAAGAGAAAAAACGATCCAGAGAATAACTCAGAGTTCATGTGCTGGAGGCTGAGGCAGCTCTGTGACTTTGAGCAAGTGCCTTAGCCTCTCTGATTCTAAATATTCTCCTCCAGGGAAAAGATGATAATAGCGGAGCTTCCTCCAGAGAACTCTGAGGAGCCATGGAAATAACACTGTTTCCTGAACCGAGCAGTGAGTGCCGGTCCCAGTTGGAGACAGGCTGTGTGAACTTCACATGAGCTTTAAATAATTTTGAATAACACAGCGAGAAAGTCATTTCTTTTTCAGTTCTGACTGCAGTCACAGAGCGGGCTCAGCTAGGTGTCTAAGTATCTTTCATACCTAACCCTTTGCTACTTTTTTTTTTTCAGCAGAAAAAAACAAGCCTTAAGCCCAGAAAAATTGGGCTGCCAAAGTGCCCAGCCGGAAGATAAATGCCTTTATTTGCTGTTCATTGTATTTGGCTCTCTGGCTCGTTTCTTGCCTTTGTGACAGATGGAACAGGGTTCCCATTTATGGTCACCGCATATAAATTTTTTTCCCTAAATAAATGCACAACACTCCCTGGCTGCTGTGATTGGCACCAGAGTTTCAAAGAGCAAGGATCAGGCATTTGGGGATGAGGGGCTGGCTTGAAAATATGTCTCAATCTCCTTGATCCCTGATTCCAGAAAGAATTCATGAAGCGAAGGTGACCTGGATTGATGTAAACAGGGTGAGCCCATTTAAGGACCAGTTTTGTGGAAATGATAATACAAGTGGCACAAAGGTTTGCCCAAAGCTGTGGGGTGGGCACAAAGGTTTGCCCAAAGCTCAGCTGGGAGGCTGAGCTAGGAGGATTGCAAGTTCAGGCCCAGCTTGGTCAACTTTGTGACTTAGCAAGACCCTGTCTCAAAATAAAAATGAGCCAGGAGCACACCTGTGGTCTCAGCACTTGAGAGGCTGAGGCAGGAGGACCCCCTCAAGTTCAAGGCCAGCCTGGGCTACATGGAGAGACCTGTCTCCAAAAAGAAAAAGTCAAAGCAGAAATTCAGTTCCTCATAAGTGCTGCTCGTGGCTGCCATATTGGATCTGGGCAGAGAACTCAGCCACCATGGTGGACCGTGCTAGGTAGCAGATTTCCCTTCTGTCCACCTCACCCCTGCCCTCTTTGCTCAGTATGATGCCACGACACAAGGGCCCCTATCCAGGTTTCGCCTGACTGCAACCTAAGGTGGCCTGGTCAGAGCTGAGAGGCTCTGATTCCAGAAAGCCCTTGCCATGGCAGGGTGGGCCCGCCCCTGGCCTCTCCCCTCCCAGCTGCTCTGTCCCAGACTTTTGTATGGCTTTCTCATCCTTGTCACCTCCCCAGAGTGAGGGCCACACCAGCCTCCCTTCCTGAGTCCTGAGCTTGATTCCCGAGGGCCCAGGCAAAGCGGTTACTGGAAAGGAGCACGGGGTAGAAAAGAAGAGGCCATGCCTGTCGGAGGCCACAGGGCTTTCACCACCCATGCGTCTTTCAGAGACAGTTTTGTGTTTGGTGCTGCGGGTGGAACCCGGAGTCTCATGCACACCGACTAAGCTCTCTGCCACTGAGCTACACCCCCAGCCCAGAGACAGATTTTTAAACTCTTTCCTGCAGAGTATAAAGAAAAAACAATGGCCGGGGATTTAGCTCATTGGTTTCAAACCTGTCTCCTAAGCACAAGGGCCTGAGTTCGATCCCTGGTACCGCAAACAAACACAACAACAACACCAAAAAAACAATGGCCAGGCACAGTGACACACACCTGTAATTCTGGTACTCTGGGAGGCTGAGGTGGGAAGACCACAGGTTCAAGCCTAGCTTGGGCAGCTTAATGATTTAGCAAGACTTTTTCTCAAAATAAAAAATAAAAGGGTAGGGAGTGGAGGGGGAGGTTTCAGTGGGAAGGCCCTGGGTTCAATCCTCAGCACCAAGAAAAAAAAAACAAAAGAGAGAGAAAGAAAACAAAAGAAAGGAAAGCAGTGGCCCCAGCCGGATCACTGGTTGCCAGCTCCCTGACTTGGGATTTTACCCGGCGACATCTCACTACCTCCATGGACAGTTACGACTCCTCAGACTCTGCTGGATGGCAGCCTCCCCCTGAACCCCAGCCCAGGCCCCACACATCCAGGCACCCCCAGGCCCCTAATATGCACAGTCCCACACTAACTCAGCAATATTTCCCAAACCTGCCCATCCTCATCCCATTCTGGGTGTGACCTCACTGCATCCGGCCACCACACTGCATATGCAGGGACCATTCTCCCCACATCTGTTGGTCCCCAAACTCCACCCTGTGTGCTCAAGTCTCCTCCCCATCCCTTCCTGCTGGTCCTGAAGTGCTCACCTGGCTCAGGCCTCTTCCTCTCTCTCTCCCTCAGACTCTGGACCACCTCCTTCCTGGCACTTCAAGCTCCTATTCATCCTGCCACAGCCTTCTCTTCAGAGCCCACCCCAGCACTGAAGAACAAGGTCCCAGCCACTCAGTGGCCTCTGAGGTCTCATGACACCTTCCTCTCCAGCCTCCTCTCTCGTGACAACACTCCTTGTCCCTTGAACATTGGTTTCCAAGCCACACCCCATCGCCACCAGGGGTGACTCTGCACATGTGGTCCCTATTCCCAGAGTGACTTTCCATGTGCCTCTGTCCTGCCTGTCTCCACCTATCAGATCCAACTCCTCCTTCACATGTCACCTGGCCCCTCCTCCTCCAGAAACCACTAGTGACACCTGTATCTTCTCCCATTTGAGCTAGACTCATATCACAGGGCCCAGGGGCAAGTCCTTGGGAGCTGTCACCTCCTGACCTTCGCTATCATCCTCTATCGTCTATCTGCTTGGCAACTTCATAACACTTCCTGTTAGCAAGACATTTCTGAGCACCACACCCCATGAATGTGTGCGTGTTTATACATAAGTGTCAAGCTACACTGACCAAGGTAATAGTTCCCTAATGAACTGGGCTGCAGCGGTGCACACCTTTAATCCCAGCTCTGTGAGAGGCTGAAGCAGGAGGATCACAAGTTCAAACCCAGGGCTGGGGATTTAGCTCAGTGTTTTCGACGCCTGCTTCACAAGCACAAGGACCCCAGTTCGATCTCCAGTACCCAAAAAAAAAAAAAAAAAAGACAAGTTCAAGCCCAGCTCAGGCAACTTAGCTACTTGATGAGACTCTGTCTCAAAATTTTAAAAATTAAAAAAGAAAATTATATTTAAAAAATTCTAGGGCCAGGGATTTAGCTCAGTGGTTCCATCGCCTCCCTCGAAAGCACAAGAACCCGAGTTCGATCCCCAGTACCAAAAATAAACAAATAAAATAAATAAAAAATTTAAAAATTCTAAAAGTCCTGCAGATGTAATTGAGTATAAAGGCCCTGGGTTCAATCCCCAATTCCCCAGTAGCCCGCTCTAAAGCTAATACCTTCATAACAAAACACACCAGAAATCGGGGCGTGGAAGTTCCGCATACCTCATGTCTGGAGAACAACTAGAAAGCCCCAAGCTGCTGAGAAAGCATCCCTGGAGCCCTGGGGCCCCTCAGGGAAACACACCCCCTGTGGCACCGCGTCCCCTCGGGCAGTGTCCCTGGCCACCCGACCAAGTCACACACTGGCATAACTGCTGCCTTCCGAGCGGGAATTGCAGATGTTTCCCTGCTTCTTAGGTGCTGGCTCTTGGGCTCCTGTTCCAGAAATATCACCTCAGTAACTTGTTTAATTGTCACAGTAATCTTAGGAGGGATGGCTGACTGCGCTCAGGTGACTAAGGAGGCCCAGAGAAGTGAGCCCAAAGCCACAGAGCTTGAGTCTCCAGTGAAAGTTGAGCGCTGCCAGCAGGCAAATTCTGCTGAAAGCGGAGGGACGGACGAGGGGAGGACAGACGGGTGGATGGAGGGCTGGGCGGAGGCAGGACGGAACAGTCTATGGGGAAAGTCACAAGAGACACAGAGAACGCCACACAAAGCGGGAAGGACGGTGGGCTGGGGCCGCGGGGGTCCCCGAGGCCGGGTGGGGGCGGGGCCCGCGGTGGGCGTGGTCAGCGCCCCTGGGTCCCCGCCGGGTCCCCGCGAAGTCCTCACCCGGGATCCGAGAGGTCAGCTATGAACGTGGTGCAAATCTTCTTCCTGAAGATCTTGGGGATCCAGCTCTGGGGACCGAAAAAGGAGGTGGGATGAGGGACTCAGTACCGTCCCAGGGGACACGGAGCCCCGCCTGGTCCCCGACCCCAGACCGCAGTCCCGGCCCCTAGTCGCCGCCCCCACCCGCGCTGCGTCTGCGCCGTCCGGGCCCAGCGCCTCCTGCCGGCCTCTCCCCGCCCCCAGCCCGCCGTACCTGCTCCTTCTCGGGGGCCACCATGCTGGCATCGGGCTCCCCGCAGGCAGCCCAGCAGCCCCGCCAGCCCCGCCCTGAACCAAACCGGATCCGCCACTTCCCAGGCGGCGGGGCGGGGAGTCCCCGAGACGTCAGCGGGAGGCGGAGAGAGCGCCGCCGGGCTCGGATAAAGTGACAGAGTGGGCGCGGAGGCCGAGGATGGGGTGGGGGCACGGAGGGTGATTCAGGGGGCCAGGGACAGAGACTCAGAAAGGGAGGGGACACATGGACTGAAGAGAGAGATTTGGTGGAGTACAGAATCAGAGGGAAGACAGACCCAGAGAGAGGGGGCAGAAATGGGGCGGGGTGGGGCGGGGCCCACTGAGTGAGGGTAGGAGGGGACACAGATGCTGAAGGGGTGAGGGTCCACTGACTAGAAAGAGACAGAGAGACAAAGCCTGGGGACAGACACTCAGAGAGGGGACACAACCCAGGATGAGAAGGGCACAGAATCCTGTGGAAGGGGGAGAGGGACCCTGAGAAAAGCAAGTGACAAAGGTGGGTGACCCAGAGATCAAGGGCAGTCATGTCGGCTGAGGAGTGGGCGATGTTGAATCAGCCAGGCAGGGCCACGCTTCAGTCACGTGCCCGCTCTCTCATGGGGACAGCTGGGCCTCCGAAACCTGAGCCCCCTGAACCCTGCTCCCAGCTGTATTAATAGCCAGCCTGGCCAGGTCCCTGCCCCCAGACCTGAGTCCCAGGGACAGGAGGTCATGTGGATGTGCCCTGGGGGCAGGGTTCCTTCAGTCCTTCCAGGGCCTCCATGTTGGCAGCTGCTCTCTCACCGAAATGCCCCATCCTGCCTGGAAAGTTCCTATAATGAACCTCTGCCCTGCAATGCAGGGGTCTCTTGCCTATGTCCCCCTTCCACGGGTCCTAGGCTTCCCCAGCTCAACTCAGCTGTCCCTGCAGCTGCCAAACTTGAGTCTCTTGGTAGCCCAAAGTCAAATCCGTCTGTGGCCACACCCAGCGGGGGGAGACCCTCATCCACCCCTCCCCAGCAGAGAGGGGAGGGAGGCGGAGGGGCCCAGAATAACTCGGGGCTGAGAGTAAATTTAGCCACACTGAGGGGAGGGGGGAGACCCTATTGGCCAGGGGATGGGGAGGGAGGGCCAGAGAGGGGGTCAGGGGCTCTGAGACAGCCTCAGAGGGGTGTCAGGACCAGTGGAGGGCAGACAGGCAACAACCAAGAGACAAGGTGCAGGCAGATAGCAGGACAGAGCCAGACACATTGGGGACAAGGACCCCAACATTCATCACAGAGCCCCAGAGGCAGCTGGAGCCTGCCCTGGGAGAAGCTCTGGTGCCAAACGTCCCCATGGGCCACCATGGGCCATGGCCACATGCTCTTCTCCTCTGGGCCGCAGTGGCCAGCCTGCTCCTCCCTCCTGCGGTGACCCAGCAGCTAAGAGGGACTGGGCTGGGCCACAGCAACTGGAACAACAATGCAGGTATCTCTGAGCCCTCAGAGGACATGTCAGCTGAGTTTGGACATGGTATTCATGGCCATGGGGGCCGTCAAGATGAGCAGGAGGACATTTCCATGGAAAATGCACACCATTCCCAGAGACTGCAGCGAGACCACAGAGACAGTGGAGATGAGGACGAAGGCACCTCAAGCGAACATGGCCACCAGCACCAAGGCCACAGGTACCAAAGCCAAGAGGTGGGAAATGACAATGGCTCTGAGGAGGTCTTCACAGAGCACATCAGGCAGGCCCATGGGCACAGAGGCCAGGGCCTTGAAGACACCAGGGAATCGGCAGAGCCTGGGAACCCCTTCCCCAGCCACAGGAACCACAGTCATGAAGACGAGGATGAGGACGACATCATGTCTAGTGAGCATCACCGTCACGTCCCCAGGCACGCACACAGAAGCCACGAAGAGGAAGACGATGGTGAAGGAGAGGAGGAGGAGGAGAGGGAGAAGGAAGTGTCCTCTGAGTATGGACACCACGCCCACAGGCACCGAGGCCACAAAGAAGATGAGGAAACCTCAGATGAACACCACCATCATATTCCTGACCACGGGCATCAGGGCCACAGAGTCAGGGATGAGGAAGATGAGGATGTGTCCCCTGAACATTGGCACCAGCCTCCCAGACATGCCCACCATGGCCTTGGAGATAAGAAGGAGGAGGAGGAAGAAGAGGAGATCACAGTCGAGTTCAGCAGCCATGTTGCAAGCTACCCACCCCAAGGGCACCAGAGCGATGAGGAGGAAGACTCCACAGAGAAGTACAAAACAGAAGTCCCTGGTCATCACCACCACAGAGTCTCTGGGGAGAAAGATGAGGACGTCTCTGCCAAGTTTGGCTCCCAGTCCCCCAGCCACAGGCAACAGGACCACCAGGGTGACAGGACTGCCCATGGTCACCGAGGGTCCATCCTAGAGGATATCAGCCACCAGCCCCCAGAGCACATGAGGGTCAGGGGCAAAAGCCACTTGAGGGAGGACGATTCTGGAGAGGAGGAAGAGAAGAAGGAAGACCACAGCTCCCAAGAGAAGGATGGTGAAGGCTCAGAGCAGGAGGAGGAAGGGGCCCATCACGGCAGCCTGGACCAGGAAGATGAGGAAGATGAAGATGAAGGCCATGGCCTCAGCCTGAGCGAGGAAGAAGAGGAAGAGGAGGAAGAGAGGAAGGATGAGATCGCTGAGTCTCGGGCCCCACTGAGCCAAGATCATAGGGAAGAGGAGGAGGAGGAGGAGGAGGAGGAGGAGGAG